TATATATACATGTATAAATACATAAATAAATAAATAAATAAATATATGTATGTATGTATGTATGTATGTATGTATGTATGTATGTATGTATGTATGTATGTATGTATGTATGTATGTATGTATGTATGTATGTATGTATGTATGTATGTATGTATGTGTGTGTGTGTGTGTGTGTGTGTGTGTGTGTGTGTGTGTGTGTGTGTGTGTGTTATGTATGTGTGTGTTGTATGTGTATGTATGTGTGTGTATGTATGTGTGTGTGTATGTATGTGTGTGTGTGTGTATGTGTGTGTGTATGTGTGTGTGTGTATGTGTGTGTGTATGTGTGTGTGTGTATGTGTGTGTGTGTGTGTGTGTGTATGTGTGTGTGTGTGTGTGTGTGTGTGTGTGTGTGTGTGTGTGTGTGTGTGTGTGTGTGTGTGTGTGTGTGTGTGTGTGTGTGTGTGTGTGTGTGTGTGGTGTGTGTGTGTGTGCTGTGTGTGTGTGTGTGTTGTGTGTGTGTGTGTGTGTGTGTGTGTGTGTGTGTGTGTGTGCGCATGTGTGTGTGTGTGCGCGCATGTGTGTGTGTGTGTGTGTGTGTGTGTGTGTGTGTGTGTGTGTGTGTGTGTGTGTGTGTGTGTGTGTGTGTGTGTGTGTGTGTGTGTGTGTGTGTGTGTGTGTGCATATAATATATATATGTATATATATGTCTATATACATATATAATATATATGTATATATATACATATATACATATATATATGTGCCCCCCCCCCCCACACACATATTCTTTTATCTATTTATTTATTCATATATTTATACATTTACATATATATATTTTTATATACATATACTTATGAAACACAATAATCATGGGCATGAATGCCAAATTCCAGCATAGTATGGTAGGTGTCACTTTAAATACCAATCTAAAGCATCATTTAGATATACAATTACGTAAGTACAACAAACTACAAAACTTATGAAATAGTTTATCAAAAAAACTTTCATATAAGGTTTGGTAATGTACTGCTACTGTATATCTTCCTCCCTATCAATATTTTAAAATAATTTTTCCAGAGAAGAATTTAGGAAATATCTCAAGTGGAATGACAAACTACTGCAAATTTAGATAATACATTTGTCTACTGTTATTCATGTCCAAAATCACTCACAAAAGTAGCTGATCATAAATGAAAACAATTACATAATTATCAACACCATGAAATGTTTAACCTATTCACAATAGATCTGGAGCATATCAGCATGAACAGATAAATACAAAAATATAAATAAATTTAAAAGCTGACATGTTAACCTTACTGTAAAGAAACATATTTTTTACATATCATACTTCCACTTTTTTGTAACAGGTGCTATCCCCTTGGCTTGTCTGCTATATACATATTTCCTTATGTGTTATATCTTGTTTCAGTAAAAACCCTGTTATCTAGCACTATAATCTAAACTGCAAATGCTGAAGCAGTTGGCATAAATATTCATTAGGTGGAGATAAGTGATTAAGTCTCTACAATCAATGCAAGAGCTGTAATTTAGAGAACAAGACCAAATTTGAAAATATAAGCCTGCTTGATGGTGATTTTTAACATTGGTTTCGTTTTTTTCTCATTCCTGAAATATAAACACTACCTCCCATAAACTTACTTTGTAGTTAAATTTCCTTCATCCAATTAAACAACTTGTGAATAAAGCATACTTCTGATTTCAGAACCCTAGCAACCAATCTACTCACTAAACTGAAAAGCCCAGTCTTCTAGGAGTGCTGGATAACAGGATCTGAACTGTATGTGCTATGCATTCAAGCAAGAATGATGCTTAGAACCTCAGTTTCTATGGATTAATATTGCTCCTTGTCTGTGCAACTCGCAGGAGTGGGAAGAAGACAGCTGATGTTTCAGAAAGAACCTTCCATGTAACCATGTTTTGATATCAAAATGTTTCTCCTGTGTTTAACAGGATGATGTAGCTTCCATGATCAAAATGATCAAAAAATTAAAAGAGTAGTTTTATTGTTGTTTTCAATATTTTTATAGTACCACTATTTTTTTGTAACTTTTCTTTTCGTATATGACTAAACAGCCAACTTCCTTACTGCCTAATACACATAAGCAGTGTTTATGTTAAATGTGTCACTTAATGTTCCACCGTAATGAAAGCTTCACAGTACTAAAACAGAAGCGATGAGGAAGTTCACAAGAAAACATGATAATTGCCATATTTATGATGCACTTAAAAGGATTTTGAACACTAAAATTTGAGGAAATTATGAGAAAAGTTGATAACAATAAATTCAAAGATAATTGTGATGAAATAACTTTCTTACAAACAAGAGACAAAAAGTGAAGTATGTTTCCCACAACATTGTCAATATCCCAGGATAAAACAAAAATTACTCTCATAACATACATCCCTGAATAAATACTTCTTAATATATGTAGGTCTCAGCAGAGTAAATCAAATTACTACCTGACTTTCATATTTTGCAAAGAAAAGCTATGATGGAAAAAAGAATAAATAATCTGAAAAAAAACTTCTGCTCATTGAATGTTAATGACATAAATAATAATAATCATGAAAAATAAATACTACTAGTAGCAACAATGCTAATAATATTGTTCAACACAATGACATCTATCAATATATTAATTTCTCTATAATGATAAGTTATTCATGCAAGTGATGTGATAATAATAACAAAATAACATAAATGAAACCTGCTGTAATAGACATTACAGTACTCAATATTTGAAAAAAATGTAGGATTTGGGGAAAATGATTTAAAATCTTTTATAAATCTCCAAAACAAAAACTACATCAAATCATGACTACCAAAAAATAATAATGATATCATGTTCACCATATTCTACACATCTATTACAACTTCCAACCCTCTTAAATAAGAAGCAATCATTGTGTGGCATTGCAAGGAATACTGAGGCACGAGTAAATGCAAATTGTGGTCTTTAAATTCCTTCACTTTTCTCTTTACATATATATATAAGAAAAAAATAATTCAGTGAATAAAATTAATAAAAGCTACCAACTGCTCAAGACATTAAATATCCTGTTGACCACAAAAATTTTAAGGGCATAGGATATGAAGTCTGTAACAAGAGATTGCCACAGGTTCCCACTGGATATCCTATACTTACTACTAAAGTTTCCTACAGTCTCCTAATATCACTATAAGGCGACACAGAGGACAGGAAATTGATGATTTCTGACACCGACACAGGACTGATGAGAGCAGGACAAGAAGTTTCACAAAAATATTCATAAAAATACAAAATGGATATTCTTCTTTGTGTGGAAAATTAATGTAAAACTTACAGATAAACATATAAAATGAAATATAATGATAAAAGGCATATGTGACTAAAAGGTGAATAATCAAAGCAAGACTATCTGAAGTACATACATAATTTTAAGTGAAAAAAATATTATAGAACAGATTCAATAAGGAAGAGCACTTAATATGTCTAAGACATAATGCACTGATTTTATAAGAGGTATTTTAAGTTAAAAATTACTTTTTAGTTACAAAAAAAATCTAAACTCAAAAGATGCTTAAGAAGAAAATAAAAATACCAAAATGCAGGAGACAGTAATGTAAAACAAGACAAAACTTTTGTAATCAAACTCTAAAGCCTCAGCAGAGGTCAAGATGGTTTGTCCCTCTGTGTATTTGATAATTTAAAAAAAGGTAATAATTAATGTTCCACTTTATTACACACTGTCCAGACATGGTCTTGTAAACACAATGCTCATGTGGCCTGAAAACATCACTGCCTTGAGTGACAGTGATACGGGACATCTATGTATGTAAATGTGTGCATACACTTTTCTGCATGACTAAATATGAATCTATATCTATAAATATATATAGACAAATAGAGGAATTGATAACTTTGCGTCTATAAATATATAGACATATACACTCAACATATGCCTGAGTATCAGTATGTTTGTAAGCATTTGAATATTGCTCAACTCGTGTACACAATGCATATCCCACAGAAGTTTAAAAAGAATGAAGGGGGAGGAGAGGGAAGGAGAAGGAGAGGGAGAGAGAGGAGAGGGAGGAGAGGGAGAGAGGAGAGAGGGAGAGGGAGAGGGAGAGGAGAGGGAGAGAGAGGGAGGGAGAGGGAGAGGGAGGGAGAGGAGAGAGAGAGAGAGAGAGAGAGGGAGAGAGGGAGAGGAGAGGGAGAGAGAGAGAGAGGGAGAGAGAGAGAGAGGGAGAGAGGAGGAGAGAGAGAGAGGGAGAGAGAGAGAGGAGAGGAGTGAGAGAGAGAGAGGGAGTGAGAGAGAGAGAGGGAGAGGGAGTGAGAGGAGAGAGGAGAGGAGAGGGAGAGAGTGGAGAGAGAGAGAGAGAGAGAGAGAGAGAGAGAGAGAGAGAGAGAGAAGAGAGAGAGAGAGAGAGAGAGAGAGAGAGAGAGAGAGAGAGAGAGAGAGAGAGAGAGAATGAATGAGTGTGAGTGTGAGTGTGAGAGTGTGAATGTGAGTGTGTGTGAGTGTGGGAGCGAGAGAGAGAGAGTGCGTGTGTGCGTGTGTGCATGTGTGTGTGCATGTGTGTGTGCATGTGTGTGTGTGTGTGTGTGTGTGGTGTGTGTGTGTGTGTGTGCGTGTGCGTGTGCGTGTGTGTGTGCGTGTGCGTGCATGTCTAAGTCTATGTGTCTCTCCATGTGTCACTGTATGCATTAGTGTATGTGTCAAAGAATGTACAGGGATGTGTGCACGTGAGTGTGTGTTGAGTATTTCATGGTGTGTTGAGTGTGTGTTGAGTATTTCATGGTGTGTTGAGTGTGTGGTAAGTGTGAAAGTGTTAGTGTACATGTGAGTGCAAGTGTGGGTGTAAGTGAGTGAGTGTGTATATGTGCATATGCATGCATCTGTATATATATGAATTCATAAAATGAACTGGCAGGCATAATATTCACATACATATTATGTGCCTGCACACATACATACATATAACCTGCTAGGAGTATACAAGGTACCACTACACCTTCAAAACCATTT